CTAGACAGCACACAGCCTGCATACATGCTGTTCCATATCTGTGCATTTCTTCTCTGTTGTCAAACAGATGTTCTCTCCTTGTACTCACTAGCCTGCCAGATGTTACAAATCCAGGGGAAGTATGGACTCACATTCTTCCTCCTTAGGACTTACTCATGACCAGCTTGAGACCTGCTGTATGGTCTAACACTTAACCTGGATTTTCTAGTAACTCATCATCTATGCTGACAATGCAAGAGATTAAGAACTCATTGTTACCAGCACAGCTGGTATTTGGGATATGATCTGATGCTCTCTCAAGTAAAGTGGCCTCAAGGCAATGTGTAATAATTACTGGCACATGCATGACCATTAATGTTGTTAGGTTAGATGCTTTAGCGAAGTGTTGGGCAGAGACTCTTTAGATCATTCTCAGTTCTTCCAACTCTTTCATAAGAGACTAATTTTCATAATTAAATGTAGTGCTTAACATTTTTCAGGATATGCATTCACTGTCCTTTATGTTTTCTTAGAAAAGGGGACTACAAGAGATAATAGCATTAAAAGTTTATCTTCTGGTTTAAGTATGTTTGACCCCTTTCCCCAGCTACTCAGCCACTGGAAAACTGTTAAACTACTTAACTGGTCTCCAGTTTGTCTACAGCAATGTGGAGAAATGCCAGTCTGGGAGACACTGAGGACAGTCAGTTCATGTGTTTTAAGTACTGCAATATCCAATCTTAGTTATTCTGCACTCCAGTTTAGTGTGAATTCGTGGCTGCAGGAATGATTTGCAGACTTAAGAGAATTAACTCCCTGGCAGTCAGCATGACTCCAGCAAAGAAATAAGTCAAAGGAACAATTAAAGCTCGGTTAATTTTATGGTAATCACTAGGCTGGGTCTGGTAGAGCAGTCTTTTTCATGAATGGTGTGAGGTCAATTCATACAGTGCTATATAGCAATGACACGGAAAATCTCAGCTGAGACACTGTGTATCTGGTTTAAGCTGATCTCATAGTGCACATTCTCCAGAGTCTGATATTTACTGTATTAAAAACTCATTCCCTTTGATAAGTTAGTTTCCCTGTCAATGATGTTGAGCATTTTTTCCAGGAGCCCAACTTAGCTCCTTGAAACTGGGGAGGCCCTCACAGGATTGAGTAAAATAGCAATTGTTTTGGGGTTATTGCCATGCTCACATCCTTAATGGTGTGCTTTAATTAAGCCAACTGGGCAGCACACTCACTCCAGGAACACAGGAAGCATCAGCATTTCTCATGTGGAAAACAAACTTGAAAGCTTTCAGGAAATATTACTAGTAGTATGGGTCAGGCCAGACAATGTTCACAGACCTTCATATTGAAACCTCTGGCCACACAGTGCAGACTCACAGCCTCATCCACCATCTGTTATTTTCAGAGCCTCAACTTCCAGTCATCTTATTATGAGAAAATTGTGTCAGTCCACTTTAGACTTTGTGGTCAAAGGAAAAAGTTTGAAAACACAATCCATTAGCTCTCAAAAGCAAATAAGAACTTGCTTGTATGTATTTATTTAAATCCCATGACTGTTGAGCAAATCTCATGATCTGTGGGACTGTGAGATACTTTTTTCGTGCATCCTTGATTAGGAGGGTGAAAATACAAGGTTTTCCATGATTCCAGATCTGTGCAGTAGAGAAAACCCAATACTCTCTTCTGAGTGCGTGGGGAAAATGTCTACAGTTAAGTAAGCATTAAACAGAAATGCTTAAGCAGTTTCTGAAGGAACCAGCTGTGGAAACGAGCCATGTAGACAAATCCAAGCGGTACTGTGCTGTTTTGAGGGTCAGTTAGTATTCCACACAGCACTGGACTGCACCATGCAGAGGTACCAGTTCATCTGGAAGTTATTTGAGTATGCCCCGTCCCTGGCAGTGTTCAAGACCAGGTTGGATTTCAACCTCATCTATTTGAAATTGTCCCTGCCTGTGGCAGGGCTGCTGGAACTAGGTGATCTTTAGGGACCTTTTCAGTTTGGAAATCACTCTATGATTCTGTGTTCTCAGATACGGTAATGCATTGCATAAAGTAGATGTGTCTGTGGTCTTGCCGAGCCCTGGTCACTGTGTAAAATGCGCGATTATAAATACTTTTTATTATTCATTAAGATGAGAGCAGTGAAAGTTTTTATAGAGTAAAGTGCATCATTAACCCTACTTCAGACCATAGAGAATCTGCATCTTTTGACTGCACTCATTCCTAGGCATCTTGCTTTATTTTCTCCCTACTACAAACCACATGAAACTCAAACGTCTTCATTCTCTGTGCATTCAAGTGAGACTTCAGAGCATCAGGGAGAGACTTCAGACCATAATGATAATTTGCTACAGGTATAGGCCAGCTGAAACCAACATATTTTTTTATGAACAGTTATCATAGAGAGATTTAAAGACTAAACTGAAATTGAATCTCTTCTAAAATCTGCCATTGTCTATTAATAGAAGTTTTAAAAACGTTGTTTTGGAAGGTGGTACAGATCTCATCATTAAGGTCTGTTCAGTATTCTTCATAATTCTTGAAGGTTATTCCTTCAACTGCTATTGTGTATTTCAATTTATTAAAGAAGACAAAAAAGGCTAATCATCTCTTAAATGTCCTTTTTTCTTTCTTTCTTTGATAGTTTATTATTATATTTTAAAAGGCAGAAGCATGGTTTAACTTAAGCTAGGTTCTCATCCAATCGTATATGTATAGATTAGATGGAGGAAATGTTCCCTATCCACAGAATAATAGATTACTTCTTAAATTACTTGTCTTAAAAAGATCCTGATTTGGCTTTGCTGAGCATAAAATATTAGATTTACTGTTTATTTTTAGTGGATTGCTGCCAGTTTTCTTCTCCCTGAATGTCTTTACATTGTTTAAAACATTAAAAAATGTTCACAACATATATCTACTTACAAGAAATCTGTGTTGCCTTCTCAGCAGAGATGTAAAAGCTTGTTGTTGGGATATGAACTTTGCTGTCATGGAATTTTTCTTTCCTTATTGGCTTTATAGCTTTTTTGGTTTTTAAGCCCACAACTGCGGCAAGTTATTTTGTGCTAATGCTGCTTATTAAAGCTTAATAAAGTGAGAAAAGGAAATCCAGTGAGAAAGCTTTAGGTGTCTCTTCAGATTATAGTATGTTGTTTCATTCTGCTTAATTGTCAGTAATATTTGAAACCTCCTATCCTTGTAAAATCTTTTTATTTGTACTTTTGGAAGAAATGGTGATGGGCCTGATCTTGGTCACCTCTATGAGTACAAATAGAAAGTCACTGTGTCAATGATATTACTTTGGACTTGCACCTTTGTAACTTGAACCAAATTTGGCCTTTAAGACTATTCATCAATACAAAATACAAGCTACTGTAGGCTCTGTAGTTGTAAGTGTATTTTCATAAACAAAAGATTAAGAAGTCAGGTGTAAGTGACAGATTTTTTAGGGACTAGGTCAGTGTAGTGTGTCTGGTGACATTGGAGCACTTGCAGGGTTTATTTGCTTCTCAATGAACAGGATACTCAGTGCTATTTCTGCAAATCCCCTGCACAAAGCAGTGCATTCCCATGCTGAATTGAGTGCTTAGCATGAAATGCTGAGTTTATGGAAGGATTCCTAGGTGACCTACACAGGGCCTTTACTCTAAGAGTACTGTCTCTACCGGGAGCAGGTAACTGACCCTGAGAAACTATAGCAACATGCAGTGCCTGAGCAGTGAATTCTGAGGTTTCTTAAGCTGTCACAAGTCAAAAATTATCACTCATTGCTAAACAACAAAACAGCTCTTGACTGGAGAACATGTAAATGTTAAAACAAAGATCTTGACTGATCCTTTGACTGTAAGGTAGTTGGTTAGAAGCTGCATTTTCACCCTTTCTCTAACACCAGGAGCTAACCTGACCTGACCTCCACTGCCCCTCTAGTTAGTTTTTTGGTTTGTTTTGGTTTTGTTGTTTTTTTTTTTCTTATAATGAATTAAGTTGGGCTTGATTTTTTTATCCTGAAAGAGTCCCTATTAATATACCCAGCTTGCTGGGATGGAGATGAGGGAACATAGTTGGAAGGGACTTAGTAACAGAAATGTCAGTAGAAAAGAAGAAATTGGAGAATGTAATGCCCACAGAGCCATAGGCAGGAGCAAAGAACGAAAGTTTCTCACTTTGAATGCATTTAGTCTCTAACATAACATGGAACAAGCCAAAACATAAACACACTATCTTCTAACTGAGTTGTGACTGCTTATAATGACTGAATGTGCTGCAGATTGAAATATCACATTAACGTGCTGCAAAATAAAGAATGGGTTTCATCAACTTTATTGAATGTATTCCCTTCTGTATCTGAAGCACTCTACTACACCTTTTGCTTGGAAGAAGTTGTAATGTGTACTCTTTATGGATATTAATAATAGTTTTTTATTTTTTTTTCTCCATCCCCAAAATAAGTGAAAGATAGACTGGGTTCTGGCTTTGGAATTACAAATATCTAGTAAATATAAGTGTAGGAAGTCAACTGGCTACTTGAATGAAACATTTGAAAACTTAACATATAAATGAAAAAGAAAGGGGGGGGGGCGAGAAAATAGCATCAGTAATATTTACAGAGGTTTGGGTCCATTTCTGGAAAAGGGCACGTTATGAACTGCTAGGTTTTCAGTCAGTGAAGCAACCCTTGATTTTTAAGTCCTTTCGCTGCTATCTTTCTATGCACGTAATTCCCATTACTTATAGGAAAAGACTATGGGATCAGCTTACTGAGGAGCATGCTTTATGAATTATGTTTCCTGACCTATCATTCTGTTAATAATGAAATATAGTGATAACTTCAATGCTTCCTTTGCTCAACAACATCTTATTTTTATGAGAAACATAGAGGAGGGTTTTTTTTGGTTCATGTTGCATATACATCTGCCTTGAAACTCTTGAGTTTTTGCACTGTCTCTTGTTTTTTCTCATCCCTAACACTTTTTTCCTCTGTCCTGTACAAATACTTCTAGATGTTCGACTGGATCAGCCACAACAAAGAATTGTTCCTGCAGAGTCACACGGAGATTGGTGTGAGCTACCAACATGCCCTTGACCTACAGACGCAGCACAATCACTTTGCCATGAATTCCATGGTGAGTTGAAAGCACAATGTGTCTGTGCGCATGAGTGAGGAAAGGGCTGGCACATGCGGCCGCCTCCAATTCAGAGATCACTATGGATCTGTGGGAGGTGAAGTGAGAAGAGTCAGGCTGGGCTATAACAGCAGCCCTCTCTCCGGAAAAGTGTTGCTCTGTTCACCCAGGCACTGCTATGTGAATATTTCCTTGACTTAACAGTAGAGCAGTCCTGTGGAGCTTGTTTACACTTGGAGAGCAAATATAGTATTTTTAAAAGTTTTTGACATTTCTTTGACTAGGAATTAATGAGAGCTGTAGGTGGTACCTTAATAATTCCTGCTTCTCCCCCCCCCCCGCTAAGGTACTTTTCAAAATCTTGAAAAAGAGACAGTTCTCAAGCTGTCAGTTGTGGCCACAGTGGGATTTTGGCTTTTTCAGCAGTGAATTGGTCAGTCTTTTTGAATGCAACTCATTTACCTTAGGGTTTTTAAAGAGAAAAAAAAAAAAGTGTCATTATAATTTATAAGTCCTTTGCTCACTTATTCTTTCCAGGTATAAGGTGTTAGTTCTGGAAACTGCTCTGCTTTCAGCACAGAAATGAGGACAGAATGTATTGATGTTTTAATTATTTCACTGGGTTAGAAAGATGCGTGCATACCCCTGCTGCAACTGCACAGTATAGAGATGACCCCTCTCTGAATGCTCTCTGTCAACTACACAAAAGCTTCCTCTGAGTAAACCAACTCCTACAGGTGTACCTTGTCATGCTGTGCATGGTCAGACTAAAGTTGCACTGGGGCTGAGACCTCAAAAGTGGTGGTTGATGTTTAAGTTGGCAATGTAAGTCACTAGACCCTCACCATACTATGACACCAAAGGGCAAGGTAAAAAAGAAGCCTTGACTACCTGAGGTCGTTAAAGACTGCACACTGCTTTCATAAGTTTACAGGTGTTAACCCTGGTAGTCTGGCACAGTTCCAGACCAAGTAATTAACTTCTGTGACCTAAATTCCACACACTATTGCCACCTACCTAGTTATTCCTCACTTAAGCACTGTGGTTCACTAGGACATTGCTTAACAGTGGAACATGAGAAATGTTTATAATGTCTATTAATGTATCCATTGTGATCATAATTGAGAGGAGTACTGAAAAACAGGCTGTAGGCACCTGAATCTTTAAGCTTACCATCGCAATGCCACCCAACAAAATACAGCTTAGCACTGCCTCCATATAACACTGCTACTCGGAGGAGCAAATAAGCATATCCTGGAGGTTAGTGCATTAAAGTCATCTGGCTTATGAAAGATGCAAAGTTGGTCATAATTCTTCAGAAAACACTATTAGAAGAGCCAGCCTGGAGGACCTCCCCTTATCTTTTTTCCATTGCTGTCTGGTATTATTTTCTTAAAATAACTGGGAGCTAAACTTGGAGAGAGAGAATTGTTGTTAATAGAAAATTAAGGAGTGACAGGGAGGGTCTAACTAATGGAAAAATTATTTTCCTCCATTATTCTTCCCTCTGTCCCCAAGTGAACTTTTTGGGGGGAATTGGAGGAATCCATGGAGGTGAGACATTTCCAAAGATCTTGGAAGAAGTTCTTGTGACAGAGACCTCTCGGTGGCTGCACTGTGGCTTGTAGCTGTGCCGTCTCACCATCTCAGTGGTGTCAAACTCCTCTCTAATACAGCTGTCCAGCAGAGAGACCTTTTTGGCTGAGGGGAAAGCGCAGCAGATGATGAGCCTCCCTTTTTGTGCTGTCTCCAGTATAACCCACGCATATAGAAGCCCATACAGTCAGCATGAATCAATCTGCAAAGAAGATTGGCTCCTCCATCTCTTTAGGAATATAACTCAAAGAGAGTAGTACATCTGCGTGTTATTTTTCATATCGTACTTTTCTTTAGGCTTTAGTTGAATTTTAGACCTAGAATCCCCTCTGATGATGGGGTGATGTCCTCTTGTTTTGGATCAACATTGATTCATGCAGCAAGCAGGCAAAGTTAATTCAGCTTGGGTTTCTATTTTAAACAATTCTTGTGGTATGCTCTCTCAGTAGGAGCTTTTTAAAAAAATTCTTCAACAGATTTTGGTTGTCAAAGGTTGTGTAAGGAACTGTGGTATTGCTGTCAACAGTAGGGCAAAGTCAGGCTAAAAAAGACTGGCTTTTGGGGCTTGTTTTGTTTTGTTAATACATTAAAATCAATATTGAGAGAAGTTACAGAGAAGGGCAATGTAGCTGAGGATGGCTGCATGTTTTACAGAGAAAACCCTTACAAACTTCAATGGAAACTGGGTCGGATCTTGCATCTCTAAGGTGTTTTGCTTTGATTGTTTCTATTTCTTTGCCTATTTTTTTTTTTTTTTACCTTTAAGCCAGGCATAACTAATAATAATTAAAATATTTCCTTCAGTTCCTCTAGAAAATGCACTCTCCAAATGTTTATTGGGTCATGCCTTTTGCACGTGCCCTTCCTATACTTCTCTATAGGCATGCTGTGACCGCAGCTTCTTGGGAGAACAATTTATTACTCTGTTTTTTTACAATAATAATTCTTTTTTTTAAATGAACAGTGTGGGAAGTGGAGAAGTTGTGTATTTGAGGTAGTAAACTGTAGTAGGCTTTTTTTTTGTTTTTTTTTTCCTGTGACTCAAGGCAGTGCCTGTTTTCACTTCAGTTTCAAAATAAATTATGTTAGTCTTTATCACAGCTGTACAGTGTTTATATTGAAACAATAATACTTTGCACAAAGACAAATCTTCAGCTCCAGTGCTTCAAGTAATCTTAATCTAATAAATTCACTAGAGAAAATAAAACCCTGTTTCAATATGACACAAAGCATACTGGTTGTAGTTCTGCACTTGGATACTTGGTATATGTTTCATTTGGTCTGAGTGAAATTATTTGTATTTTCTTTCTTGGAATTGTTTATGCCTGGATCCATTAACCTCCTTAAAGAATGAGTTATTACTTTCCGTGGGATGTGTGTAAAAATGGGAGTGTTCAGTGGTGGCATTGCCGCCTATCCTGCTGTCCCAGAGTTAGCTATCTGACACTAGATGGAGGTGCATGTTGTCCTAAGGAAAGTCCTAATAAATTTCAAGGACATTACAATTATCGTGTAAAGGCTAATGACGTCTATTGAAAAGTCCCAACATTTGTCTTGTATGAACAGTATTTTTCTGAATGTAGGCTGTGTTAAAATGCCATCCAATATTATTCTGCAACAGGCTACATATAATTGGTCTTCTTAAAAATACTTAAAGGTCTTAAAGATATCTCAGGAGTTTATTTTGTCACTTAAAACCTTCTGCTTTGGATTTACGCATTAGGTTCATTTCACAGATGGTTTCTAAACTCACAGTAACAGAGTTCAAGCTGGTTATTTTTTATTTTATTTCAAAGAACAACTCTTCAACAATCAAATTTCACCTTCAATTAATCTGCAAATCCCTTCCTTTGCAGCCCACCTTCACTGATTGCCATCACAGTATCACAACTAGTTCTGTAGGAAATGAGATGAACACAAGCAAATTCCTTGTAGATTTAATGCTTCTCACTGTTCGTTTTTCTTTTGTGAGTGTAAGGTATTCTTTTTATGCATGTATCAGAAGGAAGTATTGTGCCAGCTACAGTTGGAGAGTTTAATTAAGATGGAAGGTCTCGCAGCATGCCCTCTAGATGATCAGGACTGAATTAGTGTATTTTCCTGTGGGAAATCGTTCCGCAATTGGAACTCCACAGCGGTCAATGCATATTCCTGAGACTGAGGACTGTTATCCTACCAAGTGTTAGGAACCTTGGCAGTGATTGCTTACAATAGAAGGAACGCCTGTGTTATAGACATTGATGATCAGAATCAAGGCCTTGTTTAGGTGACAGAGATGGACAAAGAGGGGTATGTGCACTTGCAAGGCATTACACACCCTTCCTAAACTGTAAAAGAAACTCTTGTGATGCTGACCTACGTGTTGGGAAATTTTTCCTTTTTTTTTTCTAGTCAAATGATTTTTACAAGGCAAAGATCCTGGGTTATGACTCAAGTTTCAAAATTTAAATAAAGTCAGTGAAAAATTACCTCTAACATGGAACGTAATTTTCAAAAGTCTGCTAATACATGTAAATGAAAGGTTTATCAATGATAAAGAATATATATTAGCCAAAAATTGGTTGTATCCTAGTGTCACAACAACAGAATGTCAACTGAAACACTTTTAACTTTACTTCTAGACATTAATATATTGTTTTCTCATTGTTTGACCTATTGTAGTCCTATACAGCCATAGATCAGTACTTTTTGGGGATGCCTCTCAGTTTTGAGAAAAAAAGATGAGGCCTTAGGTTATACTTAAAGTGAGACTTTCTATGTACCTGCTTGTCTTTTCCATGTGGCTCAATGTAAAAAAGGGAGTCTCCATCTTCTTTGTAGCCACCCTTTAAATACTGGAACATGTTGATAAGGTCTCCCCTGAGATGCCTTTGCTCAAGGCTGAACAAGCCCAGCTTTCTCAGCCTTTCCTCATACAGTAGGCTTCCCAGTCCTTTGATCATCTTTGTGTCCCTTCTCTGGAGCCCCTCCAGCCTGTCTACATCTTTTTGGTATAGCAGGAACCAAAACTGAACACAGTATTTGAGGTGTGGCCTGACTCACAGCCCTGAGTGGGATAATGACTTCATTATTTCTGCTGGTGATGCCCTTGTTGATGCAACCCAGAGACACTGGACAGTCTTATGTGCAGTGTTTCTGCTTCACTGAGGTGGGACAGATAAAGCAGATGTACAGAGTGCATATATTGGAAGTAGGAAGTATGTCCACTGCACTACCTGATGGAGTTATACAGAAGAGCACATCACATGTGATAGTGCACTTGAATCCATTTTTTCCTCAGAAGACAACAGGGGAAGCTCAGGAATCTCTGTTTCCTGAGCCAGTTTCACTAGATGCTATAAGAATGGATGTGTGAACAGGTAACTCCCAAGCCGATCCTTGCTTTCTGCTGGAAAAGCTATGGAGTTAGTGGGATGGCTGCAGTGGGTTGGTACTCTTCCATGAGAAATTCTCATCTACAGAGGTGAAATTTCATCCATAAAAATTCTCATCTCTGTATAAGAATATAACAGACAGAACAACATATAAATCTCCTTAGCTTAAGCCCCAGAACATCTGCTGCATTTCAATTATTCTTACTTTTACCTTTCTGCTAGTTAACACATCTATATACTGTAGCTGTAGGGAACTAAGTTGTTTTTCTCCATGCTCATTGTGTTGCAATGGCTGAGATAATTTGGGGGGGGGGGAATAAATAAATAAAAGCAAGCTGAAAGCAACAAATTTTTACATGAAATTAAAACTTCTCCAGCACCTTTTCCTTCAAACACAGCAAAGTTTCAGGCCTACATTTGGCGCAGCTCATCCAAGCTTTAACAACTGTAGAGATGCTGCAAGACTGCTTTCAGGTTAGAAGACTGGACCTGAAATGTTGCACATGATCTTGGCTGAGGCTCAGTCATAAAGATTTTCTGGGAGAAAGGCTTAAATATTTAGTCTAAGTTCTAGTTTCTGATCTAGAGGGACACAAAGAAATGTTTGACTGTGGATTGTGGTCAAATTTCCAAACTTTAAACTCCACAACAATTTTGATCACTTTCTCTAATTGTACTGGAAAAAAGAAATTATTTAAAATAAATCTGACAATTTTGAGCCGAATCCATTTTTAAGAAAAGGATATGTAATAAGGGGGGGAGTGGGGAAACAAGCCCAAAACTAAAGACTGGGTATTGCTATAGGTCTGTGTTATTTATGTGACAGCTGTTGCAGTCACGGTTCTATCGGGGGAGCAGAGTGGCTCTAAAAGCTGTGGCCCCATCTTGTTTTCCTTTAGTATGTACAGATATGATGAGTGTACTTCGTAGTTATCCCCCACACTTTGCCTGACACACTTGCCCGACATACTTAGTTTGAACCTGTGCTTGCCTTGGCAGTTCTCTGTTGTGTTTCATGTTTGGATTGGCAGATACTTTTCCACATTGTGCTCCCACTCACTATGATGAGATCCTGCTCCAACGAACATTTCCACCTGTGATTTATTATTTGCCCGTGAGTAATACTGTTAAAATCATCAGGGCTGTGTCTGTCCTTGTTCATCAGCATCTTACAGATTCTACTCTCTGAAATTCCTAAAGCCCTTTTGAAATACTTTCGTGAGACAAGAAAGTGGTGAGTCAACATTAATAAAACATCTCAAATTCTGGGATGCTCCTTTCCTCTGGTAAGGAGGAAAGAGAAGTGTTTGCATCAAATGATGTTCCAGATATCTGCAAGACAGCCGTCATCTGTCTTTGATGCTGCATCTTTGTAAGACATTGTCATGATGGCTATTTACGTTTAGGTTTATGTTCCAGTGTGGAATGGGGATGTTGTAATACAATTACATTGCTGTCCACAATTCAGTTTGAAGAGAAAACCCTATCTTTCCACTACTTCAAGGCTGAATAAAAACCGTTGTGGAAAATTCTTATGAAAGAAACTTTTTTCAAAATGTAGATTTTTTGAATCCTTCTAAATTCAGAATGTAGTTAAATGATATCTCTGCTGGAGAACAGCTTAAAATAACCTGCAAAAAAGATAACATTTTAACTGAAGAATATAATTTAATAGACATTTCTGTGGAAAATCTTATGTTTCTATAGAGTATCCTTATGAGCTCTTTTAAATTCTATAAGACTTTTTCATTTGTTGGCACTACATGGCTATAAGGGGTTGTCAGGTTCTCAAAGGACAGAAAGCAAACATTTCACTTACAAATATGTGGATCTAGCATCCAGAAATATGAAGAAATGAAAGAGAAATATCAAGAATAAGATATAAGCAAGGAGTAGACCTTAACAGGTGAGTAAATAGCTAAAGTATGACAAATTAGTTTTCCATAAATAAATTAAAGGGGAGAGGGGGAGATAACAGTGGTAGATAATGGCATAGATGTGCAAAAAGATTCCCCAGGGATGTGTCATGCCTGCTATTCACGCATATTTAAGCAGGTAGTTGATTGCTCTTGTTGAACTGCTAGGCTTCGCTCCAGCTGAAGGTGTTTGGAATGTGTAATGAAGGCACAGGGTGGTCACAATTCTTTCTTCTCTTTATGTGTGCTTTTTAATTTTCAGAATGCCTATGTCAACATCAATAGGATCATGTCTGTTGCAACAAGGCTTTCCGAGGCAGGCCATTATGCTTCCCAGCAAATCAAACAAATATCTAGCCAGCTGGATCAAGAGTGGAAGAGTTTTGCTGCAGCTCTGGATGAACGCAGCACCATCTTAGCCATGTCTGCTGTCTTTCACCAGAAAGCTGAACAGGTGAGCTGCTTTCGTGAGTGATGAAATGATCCTCTGCTACTTAATAATGATGATGCTTCAATTAAAACCTAATGGCTTTTGGCATATATGCAATGAGGTTAAGAGCCTTGTTACTAGTGGATCAGTGTCTCAAAACCAAATAGTAATGCTTGCCCTTCTCTCCAAAAAATGGGTAAGAAAATATGTTTATGCCATAATGATGAGAGAGGATAACTGACTGAAGTGCACTAGTACAGTAACATGCTGCTTTATTTCTGTTGCCTAATATTTCATCAATGCTGTGGTTAAATTCAGGATTACTGTGGTCAGAGAAACAGTGTGCATCTGCACTTACACGTATATGTGGTATGTGCACAGGAATATTCACACATATGACATAGACCCATACAGGCAGACAATTTCTAGGAGTCAAAGCACATTATTGTCAACGAAACTTACAGAATTCATTCCACTATCTACTCCTGCAGTGCCTTCCATAGGCCCAAACTTTGTTAGACCTCACAAAGTATATATTTCAGAGACAGCTAAATCCACGAAAATTTTCCTTGTCCCAGAACTCTGGTTTGTGTCTTTAACAACTACCAGAATGGTTCCATAATTTCATAGCTACAAAAGATTTAAAGTATGTCAATTAATAAAACTTCTGCATTTTTTACACCTAATGGTGATTGTTCAACTTTGACTATATGTTGATTAGATTCGTTTTCCAGTGACAAACACTGCTTTGAGGCTCTCTTCCGTATTGTTGTGTTGTTTTTCCAAGTAGTTAATATCAAAGCTACTAAGTGTGCTTGATGTTTATAAAATGACCCATACTTCAGGTGACTGAAGAAGTAGTTATAACTAATAAGCCAGAAATTGTGCCTCACAATTCAGAATAGATGTATGGAAAAGTTTAGCTCAAAGAGTAAAGATTTGCATTATTGTTTGTTTCTGACTGTAGAATTGTAGTGAATTTTTCCCTATTTTGTGTTTCCTATTGACAACAGGCCATAGCATAGAGCGATCACTCACCCTACTGGGCGCTTACTCATGTAAGCACACTCAGTGGCTTTGATGGGACTGGTACACTAGGATGATGCCCAGTACAAGAACTTTCACTGAGTATGATGGGCACTGTAGTGTTTAGGTATTGTCTTAATGTTAATAATTGTCAGTCATCATATGTTTGTAAAGAAAAATGAAAAAAAAACTTCTATACAGTCTGTAGTCACAATCAGAATGTTTAAAGTTTATTAATTAATCAATTCTTGTTTGTTTGGGATTTGGGTTTTGGGGTGTTTTGCCATTTTTTTTTAATGAGCAATCCCCTGTTTTTCTGAAGTGTCAGTCTTGTTTGCAATTTATGAGTAGTTGCTGAGGTATTGTATAGCATCAAAGTCAATGAAACAGAAAGCTGTATTGAACTGACTGTGAAGCTAGAAGTGAGTATTTTTTTTCCACTGCCTTCTGAACTGTCAAAGTGGATATTTTGCCTCAGCCATAACTTCAAAAAAAAAAGTTACACTAATGTCACTTTCAGCTTTTGGTCTTTTTTACTTCACAGTTGTATGGATGGGTCTGAAAAACCCAGTCATGTTTGGCATAAGGACTCCTCTTCATAAGGAACTTAAGAAATTCGTACTGTGTGACAGAAGACAGTCTTACATTACTAACAGGAGAATTTGCTAATTACGAACAGCAATTAATCCTCACTTGCAATAAGAGAAAATTCAGTGGAAAAGTGCTAATGTGAAAGCTGTAAACTTTGGTGAAAAAAAAAAAAAAAAAGTAAAAATATGGGAGCCAGTGTGTATCCAGTAGCCAGAACTAAAATTTCAGCTTTGATTTAGTAACTCTGGTAGATAAACCAATGACTTGAATGCTAATAATTTGGTCATTTGACCTCTGTATGGTATAAAGTGACATATTTGGGATTAGGTCTGTAACTTACTCTGTTGCCTATCAAGCATTCATTCTAAATGTGGCTATTTGGTATCACCCAGGCTTTTTTTTAAGTCAAATCAGGGCTTCATTATTTTGTAATAAATAAGGTTTAAATCTCTGAAGCAAAGATGTAGATAAACTCACTATTTCCTCTGTCACAGATCAAATCTCTTTTCACTCCCTTTGTTCTGTCAGTAAAGGTAATCTTGATGTGGATTCAACCATATTTCCCACACTGTACCCCTGCTTCCCTCATACGGATCAGATACACAGATTTTCTTTCCTTCTCCAGAGTGATAAGCTGCTACAGTCTCTTTGTTCATTCCTTCCTATTGATTGAAGCTCTCTGTGATGCCAACAGGAAGCAAGTCTTTTAGGACCGTAATCTTTCAGCCTTTGGCACACCCCAGACTGCAAGGAAGTTGTTGGCTTGGGTCAGAGATTTATGAAAAGCTCTATGATCTCTATAATGCGCAAGCTGAGCAGGAAGCAACTTGTTTTTCAAGGTCTCTTCCTAAAGACCCCACACAGAAAATTGCACAGAATACAATTTGTCTGGCTTGGAAGGATAAAAGGCTGAGTCAACCCTGCTGAGAATTGAACCTCACATCTGTCTTCATGTGCCTCAGAATCACGTTGCTTTCCTGGCTCTTATTGCAGATACATGTGGCATGTTGAATGGGACTTAGCTGAATGAGTTCCTGGATCAAAGCGCTTTTGGTTTGCTTTTTTTCTTCTTTCTTTCTTTTTTCATTTTTTTTCTTTGTGTGTGTGCACATGTGTGTCTTCCTTGAATTTTTTAAACACAATTTGTATGTACTAAACCATCATCAAGAAGAGAAAAAAAGGACAAATCTTGCTAACTTAGCTTAAAGCCAGGCTTCCTTCAGCACATGTGTTTGATCAGAAGCCAGTAAACTAAACCCAAAACAGTGACTATGTCCAGATCAAGGTGCAACTCAGGATATTCAATGGAGGTGCTTTCCAAATATCCCTCAGTTCCACCTGCTACAAATCTATTGGTTGGTTGGTTGTTTTGGGTTTTTTTTTTTACTTCTTTTTACTCTTCACTCCCTTACCCACATGCTCACATGGAGATATCCTAGTGCAAAAGACAATCTGCTTCTGTATCTTTAGGTATGTCTGAGGCTATTCAAAGTTGCAAGAGAACGTAGGAGAGCATGCCTTATCTCATTGTGATTTCAAGAGAACTGTGCTTATTTACTCCAGATGAGATTCCAGCCCACTAACTGCCAGATGGGGAAAGCAGACATACCAGGTGTCCTCCCTTTCTTGGATGTAATCTCTGAAAGTGTGCTAAAGTGTTCATAAGATGCTCACTCTACAGATTCTGTCAGAATGAACAAATTAATATCTTCAAGCAGCCAAGAGACCTCAACCAATTAATTCTGGGTCAGGGTCTACTCTCAGACATGCAAGAGCAGTAATACCATTTAAAGTAGTAGGTGATAGGTGCACAGGCTAGACATTTATGCTGATTCTCTGAAAAATGACCCCTGACCATTTGTTTCATATTACCGTACTCCTCAACCAGGAAGACTACTGGTTCTCTCATCTCTGCCTAGATTTCTCTAAGCACATCCTGAACTCTCGTATTTGAGGAAAGGAAATGTGAAAGTCGGGGGGGGGGGGAGAGGGCAAAAGAAGAGGAAGAATGTGAGGAATGGGAGAAAAGGAAAAGCCAGTTGATATCTGGAAGATGCAGGGATAAGGCCACAATAACTTCTGCATTAAATGGGAAAACTCCAGAAACAGCAATAGGAAACATACAAGTGGCCTCATACAAAATATTCAGGGCACAAGAGATATAGTTCACTGAGGGAAGTGGTATCATGGCCTTCCTTCCATATTTCTCCACAGGCATTCTGGAGCATGAAAGTTTGGTTTTAATTTGTCTGTGGCCTATACTACCCTGCTTATCCTGCAGCTTCCCCACAGAGGCCTAGCAAGCAGTAAGCAAAGACTGCAAAAAATGTGGAGAAATGTGGACTATAAAATGTCTGAGCTGTGTTTTGGAGTAACCACGTGAGACAGCATAGCAGTCCCTGAATAAAGTTACTAAGAAGTGCTCTTGAGAATATACTATTACCTGGCCTAATACAGAACTTGCGACTTAGTGAATAGGTTGTGACTCAGGAGTAAGCATAGGTTGTTTCTTTAAAGTTACTTTTGGGTTGAATCAGAGGCACAAAGGTACCTTAGGGACTTTTTTATTTTTTAGGGGAATTTTTTCTTAATCTCTCCTGAAGTCTTGAAAAGCATGGGCAATTATTGGAGCCTGTCATTTCAAATCATATTTAAGCAGCTTTTATGTTCCCAGCAGGAACTATTCTAGTCTATGGGCTAACAAGAAATTTAAGCAATTAATTCAAATGGTATTTAGTATCCGGTGGACAGTAACAGCTCCTATTTCGACCCAACAGTTAGCAATTTAGAATTTTTAATGTATCTTTTTCAACTCTGTCAAATAGTGATTTTGTGATATGAATATGTTTCTAGCATGAATGCTTACATTTAGTCTTTCTCTGTGTTTGCTGCAGTGTGTGACAACTAAAATTAACACAGAATCAGAATAGTTCAGGTTAGAAGGGACCTTAAAGATCACCCAGTTCCAGCTCCTTGCCATGGGCAGGGACACCTCCCACTAGATCAGGTTGCTCAAAGCCCCATCCAGCCCTGCTCTGAAGACTGCCAGGGGTAGGGCAGGCAAAACATCTTGGGGTAACATGTTCCAGTACCTCATCATCCTCACAGTAAAGAACTTCTTATATCTAATCTACCCTCTTTCAGTTTAAAGCCATTCCCCCTTGTCCTGTTACTACATGCCCTTGTAAAAAGTCCCTCCATATTTCTTGTAGGCACCCTTTAGGTACTGGAAGACTGCACTAAGGTCTCCCAGGAGCCTTCTCATCTCTAGGCTGAACAAGTCCAACTTTGTTGGCCTGTCTTCATGGGAGAGGTGCTCCAGCCCCCTGATCATCTTTGTGGCCCTCCTCTGGACTTGCTCCAACCGGTCCATGTCCTTCTTATGTTGGGGACCCCAGAGCTGAACACAGTACTGCAAGTGGGGTCTCACAGGAGTGGACTAGGAGAGAAACACCTCCCTTGACTGCTGATCACATTTCTTTTTATGCAGCCCTGAATAGGATTGGTTTTCTGGGACGTGTAGCTGCTTTTTTCAAAATGCCCTAATCAATAGTCCTATGGTATCAACTAAGACTTTACAAAAGTCTTTAAAAAAACCTGTTTGGTCTCCCTGTGTGAATCTATACACACACCACAGACCACTATACGCTATTTTAGGATATTAAGTAAAATACTGACAGCTTGCATTTCTTAAAACCTTTTAAAACAGATGATGCCAACTGCTCCTGCTAGTGGCAGAAGTGAAATTACTGATGTAATTGTTGATGTGGCGTTGTCTATATACAATAGATACACAAAAGAAAGATGTCAGACAACAAGGTGGAAATGTGGTTATGTGCATAGGATCTTCTTGAGACTTCTCTCACCTACTGAGCAAATCAAAGTCTGGGGATATGGCAGTATATAAGTGAGAAGACTATAAGAGCTTGTACTAAAATTGGTAGAATTCAGCAGTTTTGATAAGAGCAGTAACAGTGTGATTCCAGCAGCAGGAAAAGTGGTCTATGATGTGTAAAGGTCTTTTGTTCACTCTTTTGACCAAGAGGTTCATATAACAGTGAGAGAAGGGATTGATCTCAGCTCTGTGCTCTTAAAACTGTGTAGGTAATGATGTGAATTCCACTACCTTGGCACAAAAGATGATGATTTCAGCTTTATGCAAGGTGTTTGCAGATCTCATCTGAAGACATTCAACAGATCAGGAGTCAAACCAGTGCAAGAGAGCTTGCCATCCTTGCCTCTGGTGTTCTAGAAATCAGTTTTCACTGTTAGATTTGTACTTTGTAGATGTGAAAATTTAGGAATTCATCTTTGTCACTGAATCTTTGTGCACTGAAAAGCATTTACAATGCAAACACTTTATAGGCTTGATTACACAGCAGCATAGTGAATAGCTTTAAACTGCTAATAAAAAAGGATGCTGATGGCAGAGTCAGAGCTGAATTGAAATTCTTTGCTTTGAATCTCCCAGCCCCTCATGCTGTGAGTGCTTTACTAACAAGCCACAGGTGAACACTTCATGAGTGCATAAAGCTGTGATCCTGGGGGTGGGTTTGTGGCATTCTGTGTTCACCCTGCAGGGTACTGCATCTGTTGTATAATTGGCTGTTCTTTTTTTATAAATAGCCACGAAGTACAGCAGGCTGGTTTAACAGAAATGTGGAGGAAGAGAAAATATTAATGAGAAGTAATGAGGTGGCATTAGGCAGTTAGTATGGTCAAAATATGAACATATGAGCTGTGTCATTGAACTAAGTCCTGCTTAAAAGAAAAGCAGGATGGGAACCTTAGAGACTAAATTCCTCTTTTCTTTTACAGAACAAGCAGCACCCAAGAGAGCTTCCCTAATTTGTTCTGCCAAAGTGCATCAGCACTGCCCTGGAGGCCTTTAAGAGTGGAAAAATATTTTTTTCCGTCCCCCTTCTCCCCAAAGCTGTTCAGTTTCTGGCTGTTTGTTAAGGCTTTCAACCAAGGTGCTAACCCATATCAATTGCAATGGCAATGAATTTTTTCTCACTGTTCATGGATGTCTGCCCACCAGGAACTGGACTGAGATCAGCAGCTCATTTGGCATTGGCTGCTTAGCGGCCATCAGATGGTAACGGTATCTGATCACTGCTGACCTGGGCCAGAATCAAATGTGTGAGCGAGGGCTTTAAAGCCTTGGTATCCTATTAGCAATCCCACTGAGCTGGCCCTGGGTTGGAAACTGCTCAAATACAGACTGTCTGCCTTTCACTGAAATGAATGGTAACATTGATTTTAATGGGAGTTTTTGTTTGCTTAAATTAATAGTGTAAAGGACAGGTAAGCAACTGAAAGAAGATTGACAGCTGGAGGCAATGCCAAATACAGCTGTAACCATGTCTTCTGTGTTTCATGATGGTCTTTTTTTTTTTTTTTTTATAAATATGTTGCAGCCTCCCTTTTAGGAATGCAATGTTGTAGCCTCCTTGTGCGGTAGGCAGAGATTCCTAGAATGAGTGTTTTCTGAGCCTGGAGCATTTGTTTTTAATCCACAGGAAACAGAAAACATTCCTTTGGATCTTGGTGTTCTTCAGGTACTTCAGGTACTGAGGAATACACTGTTCTAGGGTACCCAAAAGGACTCTTTTATAACTTCTTTTCCTTAGCCCTTGTGGCAGTCATACGTGGCACTGTATAAACCAATTTTTTCTAATGTTGATGAGATGTTGCTCATTGTTCCTGGAATTTTTCCAGTTCCTTTCAGGTGTGGATGCCTGGTGCAAAATGTGCAGTGAAGGAGGCCTCCCCTCAGAAATGCAAGACCTGGAGCTGGCCATCCATCATCATCAGACCCTGTATGAACAAGTAACACAGGCCTACACAGAGGTATGTGCTTCCCAGAGAAGAATGTGAGTATCTGTTAAGTGATAACAGATATTTGACTGCATTTTGGAGCTTAGCTTTTCTAAATGGGATAGGTTCTGCTTTCCATTTCTGTGATTGTTTCAAGGGAGTCAGATCTAATTCCAGGCTGTAGGAGGTGATTCCCAGCAATGTGCTTGTAAGGGCATGATGGGACAAATCTGAGGGACAAATCACATACAGAATTAAAATCTAGAGCTAGTGTTGGCACTCCAAAGAAGAGCTGCTTTTGCTGAGCAGGGAATCTCTAAGCCACCAATAGCTTTAGCCCTTTTACTTCTGTGAATGAGTCCTGGCTCTAACACAGGTATGCTAATGGGAACAGAGGGTGCCAAAAGCTTTTTTCTTCAATATACAAAACCACAGAGATGTCAGGTCCTCATTTACAATAAATGCTGAAAAAAAACCTGTGCTTTAGAATCAGTTAGGTTGGAAAAGATGATTGAGTCCAGCTGTTAACCTGACACTACCAAATCCACAACTAAACCATGTCCCTAAGCAGCATCAGCTATATTTGTGTATACTGTTGTCAAATATCTCAGGCCTAAATAGGGTATGTGGTTTTTGTTTTCCTTTGAAATAGGGTGCCAAGGATGCTAAGACTAAACCATATTCTCTGGCATTTCGTCAAAAACCCCATAAAATTCTTAACTTGCTTTTTCCCCTATTAAGGCTTTAGCATGCAATAAAAGCTACTGAAAAACAGCCAACGTTCAGTACATCTGACTGTACAGACCAAGGTCTGTGTTTAGTCCACTTTATTTTGCAAAGGGGCTGCAGGACCTCTCTGGCATCTGGGAGTACTCTTCTAGGAATAAGGCTAGTCTACCTGTTTACCCTAGGCATGGGCCAACCTGCAAATAACCCTGGATTGGGAAGACATGTCTATTATCTGTTCTATACTGTTATCTGTATCTCCAGGACTCAAGCTTGTGGGAAAGTAACCCACAGATCACCTGAATGCTTGGGTTTAGTTGTATTTTTCATTTCCCTGCACTATGATGTGTTTTGACTGTTTTTCTGCATACCAAGCAATTTTGCTCCTTCCAGGATTTTCCAGGCTGGACTGTAGTGCTTGCTGCACTTAGTAAATTACCAAGTGAAGGGTCCAGAACACAATATAACAACCTCCTCCATGCTCAGCTCTTACTGTAGTCAAGACGTTCTTGGAAAAATCTGTAGTATAAATATAAGAGAAAAGAATTTGCTAATCTAGGCTTAGTGGTAGGCACTCATACATGTTCAGTGAAATTGTGCAGATATCCTGATGATGAATGTAAGGTGTCTCAGATAGAAATCTCTATTTTCCAAACATCTGCAAGAATTTGGGATTTAGTCAATTAGAATGAGCAGGTCCAGGCTGCAGTCACAAAGAGCAATTCCTTATTTGATACTGAGATTTCTCAGGAACAGATTGTGTGAGCAAATACAGAACAGTCCTGTTGACCTCCAGTTGCAACTGTGAATTTTATTCACATGCCTAGTCAGGTGAATATAAGTTTTTTGATTGTATTTAAAAATTATTTCTGAAAATTAATTGAATTATGACTAAATAAATAAAGTTTGAAACTGACATTTTATCAGTCTTAGTTTTTGTGAAACGAAAATTCTTTTAAACTCATAACTAAAAGCAGACTTTAACATAGATATTGCTTTTGCTGATGCTTTGTCAGAAAACTATAACTCATCGCAAACACATCTGCTTAAAACATTTCTATATTATTTTACGAATAAGTACATTTTTAAATAGTATGTAGAAATGCCAGAAAGGTTATAGTCTGTTATTTTGGAAAGGTTCATCCCTTTTCCCACAGCTACGTGGTGAGCTGAAAAGCCTTAGGAGTCCTGCCTCCTATCCACATGCCTGTTTCTTCAATCTAGATAATGCCCCTTGCCCATAGAAAATAATGTTCCTTCCCTCAGAGGTCTCTATGGTGGAATGAAAATTGTAGCTTTTTCTTTCCTTTCTTGTCCTTCTGAGTCTTTGAAAATCTGTTTCTATTTGTATAATTCTAAGAAATTTGCAATAAATGGATAACTATTTCATATGGATGTTTAATAGGATATTAATTAACTTTACTAGGATATATGGGCCTATTGTCTTCAGTCACAGAGTATAACAAAGCACTTCAGAGTCACTGCAGGAACCTAAGAGATGCCCAAAGAAACTTAGGGAGACTCTCTTTTTCCACCTTGTCATGGCTGTAGCCATAATTATCTTGTTTCCTTTATTGCACTTGAGTGAATCTCAGAAATAGCAGAGACAGAGACCACAGACCTGATATGCAATGCACAGCTAAGTAATCCTTTTCTGCAATAAGCCAAGCTGCTGGCAGAGCAGGCATTCTTTCTTCTGAGAATCAAGTGGTGCTCTTGTTTTCACTTTGGGTGGAACAATGCTGGAGGGAGGAGATGCACATGAGACGTGTATCTTTAGCAAATTCCCCTCTTGCAAGAAGAGTTCTTCTAGATGACTCCATCCAGAGTGTGCTTATGGTGCTCCACCAGTGTTTCTAGTGGATTAACAGCAAGAGACAAACTTGGGACACCCTTACTGAGAACTGTACTGATTTGATAAAGATAAGGAGGGAGGAAGAGAGAGAAAGGTTTTCTCCAGTCAGGCTTGATCCTGGCTGATTATAAGAGCGTCCTGTTCACTGCAGTATGATTAACTGTACTTTATTGTCTGTTCCTAGAGGCATGATATATTTGCTCTAAAGACCAATTTTTTTTCCCTAGCGCAAATTGTAACTGTTTCACAGATGGCACTATTAGTCCAGTCACTTGCAAAGGCTCTGGAGGTCTTTCTGACCCAGTATATAGGAGATCTGCAGATTTTAACTGCGAGTCATGCTGGGTGCAGGTCTGTTAAATTTAAGAATTTTGCAACACTTCTTAAAAACACAATGTGAGATGTAAGTGAAGTGATGCAGCTAAAGCAGGTTGGTGATGCTTGCCCGGTCTTTGAGAAATTCAAAAGATTCACATGAAGAGATTTGGTGATTTATTTTTGCAGTTATAAGGAGAACAGGGGTATTACTGAAAGAGCAAAGTAGGTAGGTTCTCAATTTATGAAGCTGTTGCCTTCCTTTCTGAAATCTGTTCATCTGTGAACTCTGACAGCGCAAACCTTCTGTGCCCATTGACTGGGAATGCAGTAATGTTCACTACAAAAATACTTTCAGAAAAGAAAACTTTTAAGCCAAAGAACTTCAGAACTGCAGAGGATACAAAATCCTGGAATATATATGTATGTAATCCTTGCAAATACTGAGTACCGCTGGTTACTCGTTTGCCACTGTGTTCTTTGCCAGAGTTACTCCAGCATGATGGGACGAACATGTAATTTGGAAAGCGGGAGAACACTTCTAACAGCCTCTGATTTGCGTTAATTATTATTAGCAGGACAACACAAGCACTTCAGGTCTGGCGTTTACCTCTGGCTGTGCAGAGAATAACTAGAAGGCTACGCCCATCAGGGAAAAATCATAGCTTCTAATCTCTGAGGCTTTTTAGACAACAGGAACAAATTATCATGCAATAGATGAAAACCTAAAGCCTGTAGAAGAAAAAGGAGTAAGAGAGAGAGCAGAAATATACTCACTCTTTCCCTTACACTGCAAATATGGGAGAACATTGTCCAGTTTCAGCTTTGGATGAAGTAGGGGCATACAAGCTGTTGCCTTTGAAACAACTGTTTTCTTCTGCAAACTCTCCTACCACTGAGAGTTTTCATTATAAAGGCCTTGCGGTCATATTCACCCACTAGGCAGCTCTGGAAAAGCACTTTTACGTAAGATGAATTTTGTCTGGTGTTTTGATCTGTTATGATTAGTATACCAAAGGATCTGAGCCTTTGAAATGGAAGAATTTCAGGTTTATACCTCCAGGAGGCAAAAAACTGACATGCAGGATCTGCACTTGGGAGATGGTGTAGGTATGAGTAGGTCTATGTTATGGCACAAAGTTTCCAGGAAACTAGTCCTGAGTAAAGAATGTCTGTCATATTGTCTGTGCAGTCATGTGTCTTTTACTGATAAACTTTTAAACCTTTATTGTTAGTTGTGATTCTATCAGTGTAAATCAGCAGTGACTATACTAAAGCATTGTAACACAATCCATGGACAGATTCCGACCAACTGGCCCAAAGGCCAGTAACAAGAACATACTGAATTCACACAGTGAATTAGGCCAGCGCAATGAGTGAGTTTCTGCTTCCAAGTGTGTGCATAGCCTTGGTTTTCTGTTTCCCTGGTTAAATTGCGGTTGATTATCTTCCCACAGATAAAATAGAATATAGCATGCCTTGTCTCCTTTCCTGTCTAGAAGCTGCTGTTTCCTGCCCAGCAGCTACTGCCACCTCCATAATGTTGCCAAGTTAACACCTGTGCTTCAGAGTTTCTGCCTAAATCCTCCCTCGTATCACCACCATCCACTGCTGTTGGTGAGTGCAATCATTCCCTCTGTGACCCCAGAAGGCTCCAGCATGTGCAAATTGTTCCAGCTGGTCTTCAGCTGCAACTGAATTTGAGTACGGAAAGACACTCCCTATGGATTCTCCAGTTATTTCCTGACCTAATTCCAAACTGCCCTGAATATTTAAGAAATCTCCAAGGATCTGCCTAAGCCCACCTAATAGTCATTAATGTGATGAGATTTGACTCCTACTTTTTCCAGTATAAATCTCAAAGGCTCTCTTGATTTCTCTGAAAAGGCACCATATATATACTGCTACAAAAGACTTGGACATAGCATGGCTTGGCAAAGGACACAGGTTTGGGTATTAAAGGATTGAACATGCTACATTTGAACGTGCAACTTACAATACGGAATGAAATGAGACTTGCACATCCTTGAGATGTGTTTTAACTTTGACTGATAAAGTTAAAAATTAAAACTGGATGAAAAACATTCATTAAGCCGTTCTCTGGCAAGACTGGGAATTGTGATTGCATAGAAATAAAAACACTTTTCAGGAAATCTTGTCATTTTCACTGCAGTTTGTTTCAGAGGGAAAAGCAGGTTGGGAAAAGGAGAGGGATTCCAATCATGTTCTCATTTACCATTTCTATTGGAAAAAAAATTTTAACTTTGCAATCTGCAACTGAAAAATAATTCAGAAAGCCATTTTCAGAGAACCAGCGTATGTGCACACACTTGTTAATAGCAGCTTGGGGTTTATGGTTCCATTTTTCATTTTCCCCTGCAATATGAAAATGCTCCAGGAATATTCCAGGAAAAAATCTGGCATTAAAAAATCTGGTGTTCTGTGTTTTTTTTAATGCCCAAATGCCTTTGCATCTGCAAGTGTGTTTCAGTATGCTCAGAAAAGATTGCACATGTGCAGAGGGCTTTGCATCTGTCAGCAAACTTTGTAGCCCATTGCATATGGAGACTGTAGGTCCCTCTGAGCTGTTCCTGGGGAAAAAAAGAATCGCTATCATATATTAATTTATTTTTCACTGCCACTGAATGAAATACAGAATTGGAATGTCACAGGTCCCAATGTACATATATACTTAGTAATCCGATGATGAAAGGACTCTCCCTTATCATACAGAATATGAATGACTCTGCCATCTGTGGTTTTCTAAAAATGCCACCTCCTCAGAAAAATAGGCACGCTATTGCAAATGCTACCTGTCATCAACTAGTGTATGTTAAGAATTTTCAGTGCCCAAATGTCAGATTGTAATATAGTCTTGGGTTCTCTGTATTCAGTCTGAGCAGTACAGTGTATGTGCTCCTGCTGAGTTACACAGCAGGCCCACTAGGAAGTGAAGGCAAGTGCTGAATGTGTAAGTACAAGTCAAAAAGAGATACTATGAGGTCTTTCTTCTTTTTTGACTAAAAGAAGGAAAACACAAGGGAAAAAAGTCAGCTAGACTGTTCTCTGGTAGCTATTCGATGTTTAAGTACCAGTGCAATGAAGTAGACCTATTTCTTCCTTCAGGTGAGCCAGGATGGAAAAGCCTTGCTGGATGTCCTGCAGCGTCCCTTGAGCCCTGGAAATTCTGAATCCCTCACTGCTACTGCAAACTACTCAAAGGCTGTTCACCAGGTGTTGGATGTGGTACATGAGGTCCTGCATCACCAGCGGCGCCTAGAGAGCATCTGGCAACACAGAAAGGTCCGGCTACACCAAAGGCTGCAGCTCTGTGTTTTCCAGCAGGATGTTCAACAGGTAATATCATTACTGAAGGAGATAAAGAATGGTCCTTTCCTTGCAGCCATAAAGATTGTTTGCTGACTTATCTAGAGGATATTGCCATAAGCAAGATTTCATGTGCAGCTGTATCTATGCTGAAATCCTAATGCACATTTTGGTACCTCTTGTTTTCATGTTGGAAATCATCAGTAAGTCTGTTAATTATTGATCAGTCCATTCCCCCTGAGAATATTGACACTATTTTCAGTGGTTAATTCTTCACAAGTGAGCAATTAGCAGTAGGTACTCTACTGTTCTTGAGAAAGTGATGTTGAATAGAAAAAAATTTCAAGTGTAAAAAGCAATCAAACTGTGGTATATTTCACCTTCCTAAGTAGAAGCAGTACAGATACAGACCTTTTAGTGGTGGTGTTTAGATGATCTTTGCATTATTACCGCTTATGGAGTCTATGTACCTGTGCAATGAATGTGCTGGCTCACATGTATCACACACTCCAAAGTGCAGAGCCCACTTCACAGAAATACAGTTTATACAGTACAGGCTCATCTCTGAGAGCTTAGGCTCCAGGTGAATAACTGTTCTCTCCCAAAGGAATCCATCTGAATACCAGCACAACAGTGTAACTGACAGTAACGTATGAGATGCCACATTAGTAGCTGCCAAATAATGCAAGCACAATCAACAGATGTTATGGAACTCTGCTCATTCAGGATGGTGTGGTTTGTTTAAGGGCCCCATTATGGCCTGAAGCAGATGTTGTTAGCAATATAGTACTTGCTTTAAATGAAGAGGCTGAATGCTCTAATCATGTTTATGGAGCATTCTAATATCCCTGGGGTTCTCTATGCCATTGCCTTCCTCCAAGTGAAAAATGAGGTGGAGATGGAATGACAAAGCTGTCACATGCAAAATAGACATGAACTAGCAAGGACAGGAGACAGGCAACTTTTATTCAACATGAAAATTTTTGGACCTATTAGTGCCATAGTTGAAGTACACCAGCAGAACTACAGTTGTAGATATCCTTTACAAATATGTATGACCATTTCTTTGTCAGTCTTGAAAAGTTTGCCAGAATTTCTAGCTGCTCAATTTTTCCTGCAAAACCACACAAACATTTATGCCATATATATAACTAAAACTGGGACTTAATGTAACAGATCCTTAATTTAAGCAATTTCACTTTTGTTATGTGTCAGCAATCATACTGCATGGTAATGAAATTCATAAGCTATATATCAAATAGAGCATGTACTTGGAATTCAGTTAGAATACTCCCTGCAAACTGTATGCAGTTCATACAATTCCAGGATTAAAATCTCAAAAATCAAGGATTGTAAATTGTGATGATGTTGTCCTTTTTCCAGTGGTGGAATATAATGTCAATAGGAATCCATGTTATGCTAGGTATTCTTCAATCTTTCCAACCCAAAACTTTCTCTCTTACATCTTCTGAATTCAGCAGAAGTGTATATGAATTTTCTTTATGAAAACCATTCAGACTTTTACTTCCCACACATAAAGGCAATGAGGCTGTGTCACTGGTTTTCAAAAGGAACAGGTCTTTTGCACATACTGTGACTTTTAGTGAGAGAAAAAGAAACAAGCAATAATAGTTATGGAGTACAGTCACTTTAGAGAGCATTACTCTGTGTGAGTTCTGTTGGCCGCAATCTTCCAAATTTTTTCTCTTAATGGGTAGTTATTATCTGAGAAGCAACAACTTAATGACAGGCATGATTCCGTCCTAGCACACACTGGAGGCATCTCTTTGTCTTACTTAGCAAGCAGAGAGGAAGAGATGAATCATTCTGTTCACTAAACATCTGTACTATTCAAGATAAATGCTTTGTAAGTCATAAATGAAATTATCAGCTACATAGAAATATGAAGTGTAGATTCCATGAGGAGGAGGAGGATATCCAAGTATGTTGATGTTGGTTTGATTTTGTTTTTGTTTTTTTTTTTTTTAGATAACCACCTCCTATATATCTGTCATGCAATTCCTATTATACTTATTTTGTTAAATGCCCATCAGTTGGCAGGTGAAGCTGTCTACCTGTATGTTGTCACTAATCATAAATAACATTTATCTTTAACAATTTGTTGTCTTGTCAAAACTTAATAACCTTTACTGAGTTCTTCCTGGTTTAAGTCTAGAAAATAAAGATGTGGAAGAACAAATCTTGACAGGAGAGCCTTAAGTTTATTAGACTTTGCTGTCTTCTAAGTAATAATAAGTTACTAATAAGTAATGATACAGTGTAGTTTCAGTAAGGAAGATGCTCCTTTTCCCTTTTCACCAGCTCAAAATTAAGGGTGTTCTCACAGATGCAGTTTTCTTGGTCAGGATGTCCTGTGGCTCACCCTCTGCAGCCAGTGTAGTAGAAATGCTGGTGAAACATGATCCCCATGTCAGAATTTATACTCTCTCACTTGTTTATCTATACCTTTCTTTTCATGTCAGCTGTTCTGCATCAATCTTGTCTTAAAAGCAGAAGTGCATAGGGACAGGTTTTGTTATGCTGCATGTTCTTAATACAGTCTCCAGAAGTACTCTGCATCCTCTCCACCTGCCATTAACGGCATTAATAGCTGCTTGTAAAGACACATCTCCAAGAAGAGATTCTTATGAATCTTGATAGATCAACAATTCCTCACCTAACTAGTCTAGTTACTCTTGCCAGGGGGATCAAGTATTTAGGCATAGAATATCAAGTGTTCATAAAGAGCTCTTGAAAAACTGGCTAGCTGGATGAGGGCTCTTCAGTAGGCCAGTTGTATGCCTTATGAATGGATTTTAAGGGTTAAACTGTATTGAACAGGGCTAATTCATATAATTCCTGATGTATTTTGCACCATTTGCAAGGTGTGACTACATTCTGTATTCATTACTTGCAGGTCAGGGCTATGTTCTCATATAGTTTCACACTGTCAAGGAAATAATTTCTATTCTAGCTGGGTCTGAACCGCACAAAACCTGAAAACATTAAAAATGATGGATTAAAAGAAATAAAAGTATTTTTTATTCTAAGACAGAAAGTCAGGCATCCTTCGTCATGTCAGGCACTGGAATAGGTTACCCAGGGAGGTTGTGAATGCTCCATCCCTGGCAGTGTTCAAGACCAGGTTGGACGAGGCCTTGGATGACATGGTTTAGTGGGAGGTGTCCCTGCCCATGGCAGGGGGGTTGGAACTAGATGATCTTAAGGTCCTTTCCAACCCTAACTGTTCTATGATTCTATGATTCTATAACCAAAATGCAAGTTGTGCAGTAGGAAAAAAAAAAACCCACCAAGTTTAAACACTGTGGATTGCTAAGTTACAATGTCCGTGTAAGAAATGTTCTACTATAAAACATCATTAAAAGTAATCGCTACCTCACATCATTAGACATTTTACAAGACTATTTGCTGTTACATCTATGTATTAATACAATTATATCAATTTGCACATGTGAACCAAGGTAAATAATGATGTGCTAAGGAAAATGAGTTATGAATATGTAGCCTTTTAAAGAACGAAGGAAAATAAATTGTGTGAAAAGGCATTTGCAGCCTTCACAGGAAATGGAGCACCACTCACACAAAAGGGATAGTAGTTAAGACAATTTGTGAGCTGTTACAAGGCTCTATGCAGGCAGGAGCTGATAAGGAACTCTTAACACCAGAAATATTTAGGATCATTATTAAAATGTTGGGTTACCAAGTGTGTACAATACTTCATTGCTTCATTTAGTTTTTAGAAGCTTTCTGTCATTCCAGATAGGGAAGAGGTGCATTGTTAAATCGTTTTAGAATACAGCTGAGGGAGGAGATACTGAGATTCTGTCCTGCAGGAGAGGAGAAAACATCCCTTTGACATTCAAACTGATACTCTGTCATTGCCGCAGATGCTTCAGCCCATTTTTGGTAGTTTTTCCTTTTTGCCCCTCTCTGCTCTGGGTCTTCACTTCTGCAGTCTATTTAGCAGCAAAATTATACCATTTCCATTTCTGGGGAGATTTGAAATTGTTCTCATGTTGTCTCGAATTTCCACTGCTTTCCACTGTTGCATTCTGCTTTACCATGGCCTTACTCATGCCTCTGTATGCATCTCTCTGCCCTCATATGTTTTTTTTGCCCCCTTGAACAGCAACACTGTGAAACAGGAAGGGTAGCATAAGGGTTGTACCATGCACAGATGTTACCAAGCAGCCTTAGAAATAGCTGAAGTAATTTTATAATGCCGTTCTTAACCCCACTGCCTCCCCCATCTCCTTTGTTTCATATAGGCCGGAATTTTGTCTGAATTCTTTCACTTCATAAACGTGTTCAAGTAAAGCTGTAAAGGCCTGAAGTGTACCTATTAAAGCAGAAGGAAAATAGAGACCCATCGATTCATTATTGAAATGGTCTGTACAAGCGCTGAACTTCGTATTCTAAAGCACTTTCATGGCAGAACAGTCAAACAGTCAAACTGCTATTCTTATTCTGCAGGCTTCATTCCTTCCCATGGGAATTCTCAGTCGTCTCCATACATACACACAAACACTTAGGAGACACAGACAGCCATTTTCTCCACAGATGCCTATGATTCTTTCGAGGTCACTGCTGGTGCTGCTTCCTTCTCTCTTGACTTTGGTTGTGATGGTCGCCTCTAAAGGGAAAGCTTGAAAATAGGTGAATATGATGGAAGTTTCTTGACTACATACAAAGTCTTGAGTTAGCTGTGATGATTCTGCATGGCAAAATGGAACAGGCCCATCATGTCAGATGAAGACCAGTTGTAAACAGCTAGATGACACTAAAAAACGCTTACTGGCAAGAGGGTAAGTATGTACTAAGAAGGCTGGGACTGTTGCCATACCAGCTGTAATGATGCATCAAATCCTCTTGGTACTGAAAAGGTCAAGCTAGAGCAGTGTCAGATTCACCTGGATTTTTCTGAAGTTGTGGATTGTGTTCTGTTGGCTTCATGCCCAGGTACATTAATGGACATAGCTCTGGTTTCCTTGTGCAGTTATCTGCTTCTG